CAGCAGAGTCATGGAAATTCAAATCGACACAAATAAAGAATAGAAGAGAAGGGGCTGTGTGATACTTGATAAAAAAATACTCTTGGGTTTTTTTGTTTAATTTTCTACAGATTTTGTCAACTGGGGCATAGTTTTGTTGTTAACAAACACACATTTGTTTTTAACCACAGGGAGAAATAAAATTTGGAAGTGGCTAGTATAACGCTGAGCATTCGAAGAATAGGCCAATCCATATTCTCAGTACCAATGATTTAAAAAAAAATGATTAGTAAGACTAATTGTTTTAGTCAGCTTTCTTTGCTGCTGTGAATAAAAAGACCTGACCAGGAAAACTGTAGAGGAGGAAAGGTTTATTTAGGGGCACACGGTTTCAGAGGTCTTAGTCCTTGGAGGGCCAGCTTCATTTCGCCGGGCTTGAAATGAGGCTGAACATCATGGTGGAAGAATGTGGCACAGAGAAGCAGCTCCTAGGATGATCAGAAAACAGAGAAAGAGAGAGACGCCACTCAACAGATACAAATATATTCCCAAAGCCACACCCCAATTCTCTCCTCCTCTAGTGGTACCCTGCCATTTCAGTTACAACTCACTTAATCCCTATCAGGGAATTAAATCACTTGGATTAAGACTTTTACAACCCGATTATTTCTCCTCTGAACCTTCTTGCATTGTCTCACATGTGAGCTTTTGGGGGACACCTCACATCCAAACCATAACACTAATAGAACCCAAAGCACATATATAAACCCTAATTAAATATCTCTCTGGATGACATCAAATAAAAATTACTGGAGGCCTTTTCTTGGGACCCAACTTCTGATTTTGATTGTTACCCATTCCAACAAAATGGGTAACAATCAGAATGGAGCCACTCACAATGAAGTCCCACATTGCCAAACTAACTGGGATAGGAAATTGGGGATACAAAAAAGATATACTGATTCTTAAAGGAAGTGCCCAGGAGTCACTAAAATGCAGGAGACATCTGTGAACCACTGAAATGCAAGAAGGTGCTCATAAACAGTACAACTCCTGATCAACCCAGGTTATGACCTTGGTCTGCACCCTTGACCCCTATTCTTGTCTGCAAAAGTAACAGAAGGGCAGTGGACAAGTAGGGGGAAAACTGGCGTGAAATTGCTTAACCTCTCCCCAGTTTAACCTCTAGTCCAGCCACTAGCCAACCCTTCCTCTAAAAAACCCCAAACCAACAGGTTGCTGGGTTTTTTTTTTTTTTGAGGCGCAGTGTTGGGGATGGGTACCCAGGATTGAACCCAGGGTTGTTTAATCACTGAGCCAAGTCCCCAGCTAAATTGCCAAGGCTGTCTCTGGACTCATGATCCTCCAGCCTCAGTCTCCCAAGCCACTTGGACAATAGGCATGTGACACCAACCTGGCAAGGTTTGCTGCTTCTTATTAAGATAGCACATGTTCTCCCTTGCTTGTGCTTCCACATTCCTAAGCAAACCTCTGTCTAGGCCTGATTGGCACATGCTCAATTTCTTTGCCTTTACTTATGCCAAAACCCCTGCTGGTCCTGAGTCCAATTCCCCTTCTTCTGGGAACCCCTGGGATCCTTCTTTAGAGACACCTCTTCTGTGACAAAACTAGAGGTTTATTTTCCTTCCCAAGAAATTAGTATTAGAGATTACTGTCAATTTCCTAAACAGGTCGGTTTCAGTTGCCATAATAATAAATGCCTTTTGCCTTAATCCTTATACAAAAAAAGTAATTTGAAGTAATCTGCTGTTAATCAATTGTTTTTCTATTACTCTGACCCTTTGTCCCTCATGTAGAGAAAAATAACTCTGAAATGAACAATTTACCTTGTTTATTTATTTATTTTTTCCACTTTCTTCCTATCTACCCAAGAAAATCGTCTCTGATGAATTCTTTGGAACATTTATGTTATTATTTTATTTTGCAATGAAGTGTTGTCTGATTCTATAGTTGAAAATAAAATCAATTAAGATGTTAAAACTCAATTGTTGTAATTTTGTCCTTTGACAAATGTTAATAAGAAGATAGATTTAATTTCATTTCCTTTAGGTCAGCATTACTTGGAATGAGAATCCTAACTAAGAATAGCCAATATTTATTCTCTCTCTCTCTCTCTCTCTCTGTATATGTATGTGTGTGTGTGTGTGTGTGTGTGTATCTGTGTGTTGTTTTGCTTTTGCTTTTGATGATGCTTGGGGAACCCAGGATCTCATGTATGCTGCGCAAAGTATTCTATCACTGAATTACAGCCCCAGTCTTATTCTACCATCTTAGAAAAATCCCTTAATCTTTCTGTGTCTCAGTTTCTTCATATACTATGTACTCTTTCATTTTATTTACTTAACTCCTGCTCTCTCCTCTACCAATCTGGCTTCTTTCTTTCTCTCCATGATGCTGAAATTTACTGGGAAAAGTTGGAAGATGTAAAGTACTTGAACCACTGTGTATTTAATACTAAGCAAAAACTATGGAGAACCATAAAAGTATGGGAGTCACCTGTTCCTCAATAACCATACTGTTTGCATTGTAGTTAGTACTTTACACAGATATGAAAAAAAGTTACAAAATAATTGCAAATGGTATATTTATTAGTTTGTGTTCATTGGTATAAGGTGGCATGACTGAGGAAAAATTTTAGAAAATTGATGTTTTAAAACAATTTTAAGGACATTGGGGACAGTTTTGGTGGTATGTGCCTATAATCCCAGCGACTTGGAAAGCTGAGGCAAGAGGATAGCGAGTTCAAAGTCAGCCTCAGCAACTTAGAGAGGCCTGGGTAACTTAGTGAGACCTTGTCTCAAAATAAAAATGCATAAAATGGGCTGGGGAATTTTAGCCCTCCTGGTTTAATCCCTGCTATAAATAAATAAATAAATAAATAAATAAATAAATAAATAAACAAACAAATAAATAAAACGTGTTTAGAGCAGCATGATGGAAAGTATAAATCTTAACATTCAGGGAACAAGGATCAATTCTGTACCAATGCATGGAGGAAAGATGAAATTTGCTGCTGAATTAGAAGGCTGGTATTTGAATTTGATATAGCTTATAGGTAGAAAAAAAAATTAGGCTAGGAAGTTCTACTCTACAAAAATTGGTGTTAATTATTTATGTTGTTTTTTCATTGCTTTGAAGACATATAAAGGATTTTATATCAGGAGGCACAATAGCAGGCTAATTGATCCAATACAAGTGCATTTCATAATCAATTCTGGTTCCTCATTTGAATGAGAAAACTTCAAAATGTGATAGGTTCAAACACCAGTTTGCATCCAGTATCCAGTTTCACCACATACTCTCCTTCTCTGTAGAGCTTCCCATCTTTTGAAGGAATCACAATGGGCTGTAAGGAGGTTACAGTTTCACCTGCAATGAAATAGAAAATGTCATTACCAGTGCTGAAATCCCTGAAGCTGTGATGTGGAAGCTGATAGGGACATAGGAAGCAATTTTAAAAAATCTACATAAGCTCCTAAACCTTTGGGATTTTAACTAATTTATTTTCATTTTTGATTTAATGTTTTACACTCTGAGTCATTTCTATTTGAAAGAGTTGTCTGTATCAATTCACAGTCATTTTAGATTTTTAAATAAACTTTGTGCTGTCATATTTCACCTGTAGTGGTTGCTCGTATCCAAAAATTGTATGATAATTAAGTCAGAATAAAATTTCCTGATAGGAAAGAGTTGATTTCAGTACAAAGCCAAGCCTGTTGCAACAAAGTTTGCTTCACACAAATTAACATAGTTTATGAAATTAAACCTTTTTGCCTTATAAATATATATAGGCAATGCTAGATACTCTAAGAATAGTTTTAATCTTCTTTGTGATTGTCATGAGCTTTTTAAATTTTGTTTTGTTTTTTTTTGGGGGGGGGGCGGGGGTGGAAATTGATTATCCAACAAAACATTTTGGTGGTTAAACAAACCAAACCAAAAACAAAACCAAAAAAATTTCCCTTGGCTTCTGAGGGAAGCCTTTCTCTTTTATATAAGTTCTCTGAAGCAACCACCTATTTAGTCATGTCTCATTATTCAAAGAGTTAAAATAGCAAAAGTTAAAATAGGAAAACATGGCAGGTTTTTTTTTCTTTTTAATAAAAAGCTAATGATAATACATTCAGTAAATGAATAGCTAGTTATGTCTTATAGCTCTGTAGAGCATTTTCCTCCCATGACCTAACTATCCCCACATATATACACACACGTGTGTGTGTGTGTGTGTGTACTTTTTATTCTTTTTTTTTTTTTTTTTTTTGGTGGTGGTGGGGGGAGGCACCAGGGATTTAACCCAGGGTTGCTAAACCACTGAGCCAAATCCCTACCCCTTTTGATTTTGTCTTTTGAGACAGGGCCTTGCTAAGTTGCTGAGGCTAGCTTTGAACTTGTGATCCTCTTGTCTCAGCCTTCCGAGCCACTGGGATTATAGGTGTTTGACACCACGCCTGGCTTGGACTACTATATTTAACTCAGTAATCAGAACATTCACTGTGTCTTCAGAAATATCACTCTATAAATGTTGGCATGATTGTTTTTATGAATTCTTAGGCTACATCACTAGCTATAATATCTCATAAAATGACCACTCTCCTTTGCTTAAGCAGAAAGTTAATAATATGTGTTGTTCAAAACTGTTCTTGGCTCTTTTTGACTTAATGGGTTGACTCTTTTGTGCTTTCCCAGATTTTGATTGTGGGTTGTTTCAGGATAAGTAAGGATATCTGATTATTAGAAGTGACTTGGAGTTTTTAGACCAGTGTTTTGAGCATTTAGTAAAGTAAGTGCTAAAATACTTTGTTGTTATTTTTATTTTATATACAAATATCTCTTGGGCTTCTTAAAATATTTGCTACTGCTCATTCACTTGTATTTGGAAAAGCCCTGTCATAGCTGTGAATTTGTCTTAAAAAAGCCAAATCTTTTATCCCGTTGAAAACAACCCATTTCTGTTGCTTGTTGTTTCGTACTCATAAAATTTTCTTTTCTTTCTCTTATAGTCAGCAATCAGCAGAGGACCTCGCAAGGGTACCTGCCAATTCCACTAGCAATATCTTGAACAGACTATTGGTCAGTTATGATCCTAGGATAAGACCAAATTTCAAAGGTTTGTTGCCTGCCTGCCTGCCTCTAAAAAGAAACTCTTCATTCTTTATAAGTTTAAAAATACATTTTTGTGATATACAAAACAATATGATTTCAAATTGACATATAACTGTACTATAATATGCTTTTAAGTTCAGAGCAATTTAATGCTGACATAGTCAATGATAAGCAATTTTAAGAGTTTAATATGGTTCTTAGTTTAAGAAAATAAAAAATGATGTACCGTGAAGAGGCTAATTCATATAATGGATTTTTTAAGTAATAATGGATTTTCTAAGATTTTCTGTGTATTCTTAACTTTAGTGGTTAAAAATTTTTAAGTTGCATACAGCTCTGGATTTCATTTACAGACACAAAAGTTATAATCTGTAGAACAATCATTTACCCATTTAGAGAAAAAAGAGCAGTTCTGATATTTACGTAAGTTCTCTTTTACTTTTGTTAGTGTTTCACATTGATTAAAAAAAATCTCTTTTTGCTGAAAAAATGGCCATATGGTTTTTAAAACATGTTAACTTTATGAATAAAAGTGACTACATGTTCTACAACAGAGATTATTTTTATTCCAACAGAATATTATCATTTATTACACATTTCAAGAACAAAAACTCTACTTCAATAAGTAAAAGTCATGAGTAGATTGTATATTTGTATACTCACCCCAACATTTTTCTTTAATCCTCTTGATGAATTAGGGAAAACTATGTGGAAAAAAATTTCCTCTGGAAAACTATAATTCTTATTGTTGGTTAAGGACAGGTATTAATGTAGATCAGATTAACATTATAAGGCTTGATATTTTTTTCTCCTTTGCAGAAAAATGGTCTGCAGCTGCTTCTAGTCAAGTGAAGTTATACAACTATGTTGTAAAAACAGGGGGGTTTGTTCATTACCAGAACCTATTCAGTTACTTTCAACAACCGCCATGGTCTGGGTTGTCACATGTCCACCATATATTGATTCCCCACCTGGTTTTCATCAGGCAGTGGTTATGTGGCTAAAAGGCTAAATTCACATTTTCTCTTTGATAGCCCAAACAGCAGTCACAATGATTTGAAAAAAAAGAGAAAGAGTTGCAACATTATACCTTAGTTCTCACTCCATGAACTTTCAAATTATTTTCAAACAGGTCAGTCAGAAATCTTTATAATGGTTCTGTTACACATCTTGTTAACTTTGCATTTTCATGAATTAAAAATTAAACTATAGTCATTACAAGTAAAAGTTATTGAATAGTATTATGCCATTTGATTTAAAAATCTGGAATAATTAGAAAAATAAAAAATGAACTATTTTAAAAATGATTTTTAAAAGAATAATTTGCATTTTCATAGAGCTAAATGCAGTAGGCCAATTGAAGCATTTTTTAAAAGTTAAATATATTTTCTAGAGTTTTGCAAATTAGGAGAAATATTTCTGAATATCAAACATTATAAAACACAACTCATTTTTATTTGTATTATGATCCCTACTTAGAAAAATATTTTAATATAGTTGTGAACATATTATAGTAAGACCATAGATTTTGCATCTCAGTGTGGATGAAAAAATACCATATCAGGAAGATTCTGATCAAGTTTTTTTTTTTTATAAATACTAAATATATTCTTAATTTTTATTCATAGGCATTCCTGTTGATGTGGTAGTGAACATTTTTATTAACAGTTTTGGATCCATTCAAGAAACAACAATGGTAAGATGACAGTTTAATATCTTTGTCAAAATTTTAGAGTAAGTACAATTTTTTAGAGTAAGTACAATTAATTTTAGTGTAATTACAATTATAACTGAAAAATAAGGAGTCACTGTAAGGAAAATATGTGTTCTTAGTATAAATATCTGAATTCCCACATTTTGTTAAGCTAATGACTATAAACTTCTGCAATTCAAATTTAACCTTAGTGTTGCACTGAAACTTAAAGTTTTGCAAAAATTCATGTATTCTCCCTGAAAAGCTATGACTTGCTGTCATTTGGGAAAAGGATTTATGTAATAAAAACTCTTGAGCAACAGTTTTTTTTTCTTTCTAATATGTTTATATGTGTGAGCCTCCAAAAATGCTTTACATATTCACAGTTTTTTCTTACAGTTTCCAGAGGAGAAACTTTGTTTACTCTGAGATGCTAATTTAGTGATGTGTGGAGCAGGGAACTGTGAGAAGCAAAGAGGAAAATTTATTTTCATAAAATAGGTACCAGAACTCTCTGAAAAGATAGAGAACCAAGGCAAAAAGGCAATGGAAAGACAGATGAAGGGTGAGAAATGGTGACTAGGCTACCTCCTCTCGGAGAAAATAGAGAAGAAAGATTTGGGAGACTGCCCTTTGCCCATGATGATTTATATTTTAGGGACAAAGACCTCTATGTTTCCTGAATGTTGTATAATATAATTACCTCTAAGTTCTTAAAAGATATTCTAAGTATTGTTATTTTTTGTATATATTCCTTTAATTCCCTAATGGATGATAAACCTCTTAAAGTTAAAAGTAATATATTCTACTTTTGATTTTCCATAAAATATAGAAGATGCTAGACTATAGGTAATGAATACATATATAATTTCTTATATTAGCTAATATTGAATGAATAAATGAATGAATAATTTCTATTCTTAGCTTTTTTAAGTAAAAGGATTGCCATTCAAGGTTTTAGAACATTAGATCTATTCCCTTTTTGACATAACGATGTGCAGGTATGATACTTGAGGTGAGAGAAGGAAGACCCAAGGGTTTTTTTGTTTGATCGTTTGAGATAATTAGATTTTATACATTAAGTAGTCATACCAGTTTGGATAGTAAGGCTAATAAAAAATGGTTAGAGTACAGTATAATCTTTCCAGGAGTATTGTGAACTAGAGAAAGAGAAAGAATGATTTAAAATATTTACTTCTTTATTCCTAGTAGAAGCATAGTGATTATATGTTGTATTTAACTTATGATACTCATCAGTATATCTAATTGTGATATGAATGTTATTTTTAATTTTTATTTTGTAGGAGCACATATATAAGTCCCCAAAGAATTGCTATTCTTGGATAGTATGGAGATACATTTAGAGAATTATTTAAAAGAAGATTTTGGGATCAAATCCAAAGTTCACCTCCAGTGACTTTTTTGTTCATTTCAACGATATAGATCTACATTATTGATCACTAGAAGACTTCTCTGAAATAAGATATAACTGCCATATATCATTGAGGAGACTAACATAGCACTTGTTAATTGAAAACGTGCTTTGTCTGTATAAACACATTTCTATGTGAGAGTAAGAGATAACATTTCCTAAAGGCATAGTTTTAAGTGCATCAGTACATCTGTTTGATTTCCATGCTCCTCTCTGAACCCTGTACATCTTGCATGCCACCACTTACACCAACCTCAAACACCACTATAGAGATGTTGTGTCTTCTTGGGAATATCCCCACTGTTTACCTTGGTTGCCTCTGGAATCATATCTGAGGTGCAACTAATGCCAGGATCATTTTTCTTGTTTAAATTTATTCACATGAGTCAGAGCCCCACATGTGTCATTAATGTATTTATTCTTTTATAAATATGGAATACCTTCTAAGTATGAGGGACCTAAACTTCTCTAGGTCCCATGAGCAATTATGTGACTGTACTGAGTTGAATACACCTGGAAAAACAGATATTAGAAAAGGAAGAACTTTTTACAGTTTGAGGATTGTAATAAATATTTCATCATTTCTAATAATCTTATTCTCCTGTACAGACCCAATATAGTAGCTTGTGGGAAAAAAGAAATATTCCTGGGTTCAGATTCTCACCATGGAAGCTTTGCCCATATTATTTAGTCCCATTTCCAGTGAGCTCTTATCCTCTAATCAGATCCTATTATGGCTATTTTCCTCATTTTGACCTATTTTTAATCCATCTCTTTCATCTCTAATTATTTTTACTTAAATATGATACTTTATATACTGTATATATTTTTTGTATATATTACTTTAATTCCCTAATGGACTATAAACCTCTTAAAGTTAAAAGTAATATATTCTACTTTTCATTTTCCATAAAATATAGAAGATGGTAGACTATAGGTAATGAACACATAAATAATTTCTTATATTAGCTAATATTGAATGAATAAATGAATGAATAATTTCTATTCTTGGCTTTTTTAAGTAAAAGGATTTGCAGAACAAATTTAAACACTAGATTAATTTTGAGCATTACTATAGAGTATTAATTTTGGAAATTTTGGAGGGAGACCTTTCTCCAGAGGAGTTAAATTATTTATTTACTCTTTCTTTTGATCAGATAATCTGGATGAAAATTGGTCTATTCTACACCTCATGTTGGTGGACACAGCCTAAATGTTAGAATTAGAACTATAGTCATCAAATAGACTTAAATATTTTGCTGTATCCTAATTATTATATTTTTGCTTTCAGTAATGTTTACTTCATATACCTCTATAAAATTTCATAGACTTATCTTGTGAGGATGTCAGATTTTATAGGTTTAATCCGTAGATTTATTCAGCCTTGTTGCTTAATAGTTAGGAAAGGCACAAATTGCAGGTATATAAATAGCATTAAAATGTCTTCTAAGGTAATAATGATCTAGACAAAACTTGTTCTTCATGACTTGTTACACTGATCAGAATCAACAGTGAAGACTCAAGAGAGCAGCTCAAAAACACATTCATTCATGGGTAGAAATTATCATGAGAGGATGCCTTTAAAAGCAAACAAATAAGTACAAAATAAGTACAAAAACAAAAATGTAAAAAAAAATGTTCCTCAAAAAGAGGGATTAGATTTGTCTAAGAACAGAATATTCATTCATGGAAAAATAATGGTGGACAGTATGTGAGTTTCTATCAGATAGAACTGTGCTTGGGTCTGTTGGATATCTGCTGTGTTACACCTTAAACAAAGGGGAAACACTACAAATTTAAAGCAATAGTATTTTGCCTGGCACTGTAACTATTCAGTAATAGTGACCCTATGGATTTGCAACTGTTACAATATTTCCCAAGAGAATCTAACCTTAAAGAAAGTGCTGAAGAAAATAAACCAAACTATTTATGGGTTTAACAGTAGTCTCATTGTATACTTGTGGCTCTATTTCTTAATAGCCTCCTAGAACTCTTCCTTAAAAGGATCATCTGAAATAAAGAAAATCCTAACATTTTGGAAATTTCAATATTTTCACAACATTTTCCTCTCCAGTCAGACTTTGTTACCTCAACAAGCAGTTGCTTATATGCTTATTCCAGAAAGCACAATGCAGAACACAGAGCCTGGGGGTAGATAGAACATTTAATTGCTACTAGTCAGGCAGCAGACAGACATGGAACAATTTACAAAGGGAGAGGTGCAACTCCTTTCTCCAGTGTTTAAAATTGATTATCAAACAACAAAGCACTCAAGGTAATCAGCATTGACATTGTGGTCAAGAAATCTTAGCCAATTACATTTGGAAAAATTCCTTCCCACTTACTTATTTTTGTTTTGAAAGCCAAATAATATTGGCTAAACTAAAAGTAATCTCACACAATTCACAAATTGTACTTGTGTAGTGGAGGAAACACTACATCCATATTCATATTATTTATGTGCTTTCATATCTCTGTGGTTATAAGCTCCTTTAGCCTGATTTTTTTTTTGGCAGGGGTACTGGGGATTGAATCCAGGGGCACTTAATCACTGAGTCACATCCTGACCCCCAGCCCTTTTGATTTTTGATTTTGACACATGGTCTCACTAAATTGCTTAGGGTCTTGCTAAGTTGCTGCAGTTGACTTTGAACTTGTAATCCTCCTGCCTCAGCCCCCTGAGCCTCTGGGATTACAGGTGTGTGCTATCACGCCATCCTTCAGCCTGTTTTATGGTCTCATTCTGTAGCTTTATAGTTCCTATTTCTTATATCTGTATGTTCATTCACATTCTACTATATACATTTTTTGTAAGGTATCAGTATTAATACTATAAGTGACATTTACTGACATTAATAGTAGGGTCACCCAAATTATCACATAAGTGTTACATCACAACTCAAAGTTACTAGAACAGTAACTTCTAATTTTATCAGCTTTTGTGGTGCTATCTGTGACAAATGAAGTAGGTGCATTCAAGACTGTGAGAAGAATGATTTGTTAGACTCTTGGTGGCATCTGCTCTATGCTTACAATATTTGTTGATTTTTCTGTTCATTTCCTACACTGACTTGAGCCAGTGGGATTTTCATAAATGAAAATATGAACTATTGCACTCATGGGGAAAAATTGGGCATTATGGTTTATTGTAATAATCTATACACAGGCACTTTGTCTCATCAGAAATACATAAGAGCTCTTTCATAGAAATAAAAGGCTGTTTATGCAATCCATTTTCTTTCTTTAGTTTAGGCATGCTTTGTAATTATATTGAATTATTATTGCACTACAATTCATGATCCTGCCAGTCTTTCTGTGCCTTTTCGCTGCATGACTTTTTGTTTGTTTTAATAATAGACTTCAACTCATTTTGGGCAACACAGCTGTGCTTGTCAAGAAAAAAAATCATATTTGAGATCAGTTTAAAGAGCTCATTTCAACTTCTTTGCAATTGCTCATCTTTGTTGTTGCAAAACAGTGTTTCTTTGTGTATATATATTTAAAATCTTTTCCTTAAAACATGTCTTAGTTTACTATTCTTTATATTTTGTTCCTTTTGCTATGAATTTTT